AACGAAATTAAATGATAATATGCACGTTTTACGTAGTCTCGATAGAAATTTATTATATCCTCCGATATTTCTTGATGTCTATGTATTCTCACTTAAACATCAGAAACGCCGAGTTGGTCAAATAGCATTATACTGCGTGTTTGATCGTTTATTCGTTCGGCATTTTGAAAAGCAGCAAATATATGTCACGGTACAAACACAACTTGCTGTGATGCTATCTGCCATGTAAATAAACCATTAATTGTGCTTTGAACACTATCTGTGATCACTGTTAACCATGATATTATCGATGAATCACATTGACCTATGCAATATAATAACTGTTTTTCTTCAGATATCATTGGAGTCATTGTTAACATCCACACCGAAAGTTTTGCTGATATTACTTTACCATCATCACCAGCAGGTCGCCATATTGCATCAAGATCTGTTGCTTTTCGCACGAATACAACTGTTTAACCCCCAAAATTACCTTTCAGACATTTCTGAAAAATCCAAATATTTGTGATAGTTGAATAGCGTATGAACATCTTCTACTTCCACCATGCAATTTAGATCGACGTGCTATAAATCTTAAGTTGAAATCTGTACTATCACCATGAACCACATGCCACACATCAGCGGTAGCGTAGTCAACATTAATTGATGGTCATCTTTTAATATAATTTTTGTTCTCAGGATGATTAGTCGTATTCTTCACAAACACCGTTGACGGACCAGCTGATCTTGAATAATCATCACTGTCTCTCTTTAAGCTCAAAATCATTGTGGCATCGTCAACAGCTTTTTAAACTTGGGCTTCCATCGACGATATATGTAACACTGTCGAACAAAGTCATGATGCCATGATTAACAAAACCAACAATAATATCAGCTCCTTATTAATTATCATCTGTTTTTAAAATTTCATAATGTACGTCAATAAATGATTCAGCGAGTAGAACATATCTGATTGTGTCACGGTTTTTGTATTTCGATTGGTCCACGCTGATTTGGCTGACATGCGTCTTTCGAATAATACCAGTAATCGCAAACAGATTCATCCTTGAAAACTGTCACATCAATGTCAAATGCTGGATCATATATACTTTTGACTATTCTTTTCTAATTTTATATTAACTAACATGAAGACCATTTCCTGCTATCAGACTTGCTGCTATTTCCTTCTTTTCTTTCTGTTCTTTTTTTTTCTCTCCAGCTAAATCTGCTGGGTTTTTTATTTGCGGTTTGAGTTATTATTTTACTAACATTTGCAGGCATAACTTCAATTCTTCGTAATTTCAGTGGTGGCTGAGGTTTCAGTCGTATTAATCGTGCTAGTCTATCCTTGATTCCAGAGAATTGTTTACTGGCAACGTTGCCGGCACCACCAAATGCTGGATCATATATACTTTTGACTATTTTATTCTGTCTGTTATTATCTAAGATGAAGGACATTTCCTGCTATCAGTCTTGCTGCTGTTTAAATTAATGGTTCAGCCGGTAGAAAATAACTGACTGTGTCCTGATCTTGTAATTTTATTTGTCCACGCTGATTTATCTGTCGTATGTTGTATTAATAATACTGATAATCCCAAAATGATTCATCCTTGAGGACTGGCACATCCATGTCAAATGATGGATTAGATAAACGTTTGATCATTTTATTATATTTCTTATTGTCTAATATGATGATCAGTACCTGCTATCATACTTGATGTTGTGATCTTTCTTTCTCTGCAGTTAGTCTATCCTTAATTCCATAGAATAGTTTACTGGCAACGTTGCCAACAGCAACAATACACTTTTTACGAACATTGTCAATAGCTTTCACTCTTAGTTGCTTTGCAATTGGTATTGCGTTTTGGGGTTATCCTTCTAAATAGACCGTGAACAACATCACCAAGTCCATCCTCATAGGTCGCGTTTTCTATACTGGTAAAGGCGAATTTATTACCCTGGCCGTGGCAAATCCTCGATGAATATTATATACAATCATCTTATTATTATAATTATATCTCACTGCTTAAGTAATGTAATAATCATCGACGACTTAATTAATGAAGGAATGATACACATTAATATTCATGATACCACCTGTAAACAACAGGTGAAAAATGGAAGCTTCCTCGTACATAATTTCTGGAAAATTATTACTGGCTCGCTTTACTTTATTTAGACGTTCTAGTCGTTCAAAATCTGCAATCACGTGTTTTGGACAAGTAATATGACGACGTCTTTTGGTACCTTTTGCAGGAGTAATAATAATGCTTCAAGTTGCGATGGGATCATTTTGCCATTTTTTTCCCTTGGCTACTGGACAGGCTGATATTATTTGTTGTGCTTGTTGTCAATTTTGTTGTGTTGTATTTGTTGTCATTGCTCTGGTGATAGTTCCATCGATGCAATATATAAATCTACTGCATGAATAAATACAAAATTTTTCTGATCGCTGTTACGAGCATGATTAAATTTTTAATACCTGCATTATATCCATTTGTTTCAATTATTACGACCAAGAATAATATCCGAATATTCTTATTTTTAAAATACTCGAGTATCATAGCGTTTTACAGAAGACTTAGCTAAGTGTTTCATAGTTTTGGCCTGTCCTAAAAATGTTAACAGCGTCTTCGATAAATTTATTAATCATAACAGCCATGGCTAGTTTTTCTGGATCTGGTTCCAGTGTATCACCCTCCGTTTGGTTTACATCCTAAGGCATTTCTCGCATTGGTTGAGTATCAACTATTTTGACAGGGAGTTCTCGTAAAAGTCTTTTATTTTCTTAGTTAGCTCTGCTGTTTGTTTTGTTTTGTTTTGTTTTTTTTTTTTTTGCAGTTTATGTTTCTGTTGCGGTTCTTTATAATACAGGGAAAAGACCTACAATAGCCTCTACAACTTCTTCGGTGGTTTTTGTAATAGGTTTATAAAATTCTTTTGCAACTTCTGCAAATTCAAACCGAGGTTCATGACATGCCTGTAATTTTTGTTTGATAGAATCTCTCATGGTTGGATATCTCTTAATTGCTTCTAATAGGTCACGATCTAATCTAGCTGAGTGATCTTAGTAGTATAGGAAAATGCAGTTTCTAGAATAGTTCCATCCTAGAAGGTGTTTTTTTTTACCCTAAAAGGTATTAAATTGTGCAACAAAAAAGCAAAACGATGGTCAAAAATCACGACTTCTTGAATGGATGAAGGCCCCAATTACCATAAAACATCTCTTTTCGACGTTTTATGCCCGCCAAAATGTTCCTAATATATGCTCAAAATCTAAAACAAAACCTTATTCCTCAAACCTTTAATCAATAACAATTAAAATTATAAATATAAAAAAGAAATGATTGATACAATCAGCTTATACTGTTCATTCGAAAAACATTACAAACCAACAATGCCATTCACAACTAAAGCAAGGGAAGTTATCTTTTCTAAATGTATCAGTGTGCTCGCATTTAATATAATAGACAATGTCATGATTAAATTTGATACATTGCTGTACGTATAACTCTTTTTGAAAGTAAATCGGAAGATGATGAAAGTATTGTTAAGCAAGTGGTTGAACGATCAGAAAACAGATGAATATAAACATATTTTAAATAGCCTTTACCCAGCATCACGGAATATTGTTACAGAAAAAAGAAAGCTATAATTGAAGATATATTTAATGTTAAGAAGAAACAATCTTAACATTAATCTGAAGACAAACTGATCTTAAATTAACCTGGGGATCTTATCAGACAGTTGCGTAGTTAACTAGCGCATAGGTATTAATTCCATCTTTACAATTACATTTATCATCAAAGTTGGTTAAAGCTAGATTCCTAATTCATCTATCTTAAATTGTTGTTCATACGACCTTATAGTGCGAAGAGTCGCAAAATGCTGCAAAGAGTTATTGAGAACGTCTGTATAGTCGTAATGTTTTATCGTGTTTTCTCAACAACATATATTTTGCTCCTTTTAACTTCTTACTTTCTTTAGTGTCGACGTCTTATCGGAGTACAGTTTACTGCGCAAACGAACAGACTCAAGGACAGGGCTCAAACAAAACTCACAGTTCATCTTTCCCATTACCTTTTTATTACTCGGATCATGAAATGGTGAATTTCGACAAACATCTTATAAATTAATCTCGTCCATGTGCTCGAAGACATATCTTGTTTGCGTCTTCAGCAAATATCTGATAAATCTGATAATCGGTGTCAGTGAAAAATAACTTTGTCCAAGGCCTGCACTTTTCAAAATAAATTGTGATGTTTTGTTGTTTCTATTGAATTTTTATTAACTTATTCACATGTTTATGGCTGATTTGTTTTTTGATCCTGCTAATTGTATGTGAAAGTGAAAATAAAATGATAAAATTTATTTTGTAATATGCTGGGGGTTTGGCACTACAGAAAATAAGAAAATCAACAAAAGATAGCACAATAAACGAACACAAAAGCATAAAAAGCGACAAATCTGATAAGACATTAAACAAAACACATAATTCGAAACCTTTATATAAAATAAACAATTTGATTAATGATTATTATTTCGTTAAATTATAATGATTTTTAATGTTATTTGGACGTTTTTATATTCACTTTCTTGTTGTTTTTTTTTTGTAGGGCCAGATCCCAGCATAAATAAATCTCTTTGACGAATTTCTTGTTTTCTGTAAGACAAAAAATCCATCACTTTAAAAAATGCTGATTTTTTTTTTTTTGTTTTTGTTTGTCTTTATCTCATATTGTTTATGTATTTGTGATGAATTTTTTTATTAGTTCCACTAGTTTTATGTGAAAATGAAACTAAAATGATAAGATTTTTATTGTAAAATGCTGGCGTGTTACTTACAGAAAACTAGAAATTCGTTAAATAAGTTTCTATATGCTGGGGTAAGTTCATCAGATTTAACATAATTCAACGAAAACTGATTAACAAACAAATTTATGTATAAAATTCAAAATTTATCTAGAATTTATGTAGCTTTCGCTGTTATATACATATTTACTTCTGTTGTATTTTTCACCGCTCCGGTGGCCTAGTGGTTAGAGCGTCTGCCTCAGATGCGGGAGGTCGTGTGCTCGATCCCCGTCGAATCATACCAAAGACTTATAAAAATGGTACTAACAGCTGCATCGCTTGACGCTCAGCTTTAAGAGGTTAGTGTTAGGACTGGTCGGCCTCGTGTCAGGATAATGTGACTGGGTAGGACATGATGCTACATGTCTGTGGCATGATGCCCAGGGCTAGACATCATTATAAACTGCCACACTGCAGACATGGTAGCGATATATGACTGAAAATTGGAAAAGCTAAGTTTTTAAAAAAGTCATAAGCACATCACATCACTTCTGTTATTTGATTTTCAAGATTTAGCGAATAATAAATAATATGATGCGTGAGGGCGATTTTTAATAAAGAATAATGATTTCCTTAAATGATTCCCGAGGAGATGAATCACGGGCATTATTATTATTATTATTATTATTATTATTATTATTATTATTATTATTATTATTATTATTATTATTATTATTATTATTATAAAATGTATACCCGGTTTATAACAATTCTATAATCATCTATCTTTCAAGACAAAACAAATCCATAACCATCTATGGTTGTTAAATAAGTTTATGTGGCTGAAGATGTTTATGATTTCCTTTCAAACCGAGCGATGCATACATCACTGAATCAGACTTAATCATGACTATATCTATCACAATAAATGCGAGAACTTTAATACATATCGAAAAGATAACTTCCTCTACTTTCGTTGTGAATGTTTTTGTTGGTTTATATGACTTTTCGAATGCACAATATAAATAGAGCTGATTATATCAACCATTACTATTTTATATTTGTTATTGATTAAAAATTTGAAGAATAAAGTTCTGTTTTAGATTTTGAGCATATTTTAGAGAAATTTTGGCAGGGGGTGGAAAAGTCCAATACTCCTGTTATTATGGTACTTGTGGCCTTCTATTTTTCAAAAAAAAAAATTATTTTCGCTACCATATCTTTTCTGCGCACATTTAAGCCTTTTCAGGGCAAAATTACACCTTGTAGGTTGGAACTGTACAAGAAACGATATTTTCCTATACCACTAGCTGCACTACTCGTTATTGATACAATAATGGTTTAATTATCGCAACAGACAGGGTGGACATACAAAAATTGAAAGAACAGATAGACAAACATAAACTCTTATAATTTGAAAAAATATATGTCAACGACGAAGTAACAAAACCGAGCTAACCCACATGATTTGACATTATTGCGGTCTGTTTCCCGCTGTATTTATATACGATCGGTTAGAAGAGTCGGTTTCGCGTTATTACCTTTTCTTTCCGCCCTAATAAGAAACTTTAATTTGCAACCGGACCCTCCGTGAAAAATTTGGAGGATTTACCCTCTCAGCTGCTGCTAGTGGAATCCCCGCCTCCAATTATCTTGTCCGATAATTATGCTAACCTTGCCGATAAAATGTTTCAGAAACCTGACACATGTTTAGGTCTCATAAATAATGTCAAACATGAATTTCCCAAAATTATTTCTTGTCTAATAAATTCACTTAACTTTCCCTGCAAATGGACTTTAACATTATCTCTATTAAGATTCTCCAATATACAAAGGCAGAAATGAAATTAATGCAAAATCACTACCTATCTTCCGTTTCCGACGCGTGCGACATTTCGGCAATGTACGTCAACTTACAAAAACCAGCCGCTCGGACTGTTTTTATCGCTTGACACGTTTTCGCAATTTCTTGAGAAAGAGTACAGCAACACGGGATTCCTCGTTTTTGCGTTATTCCAAGTTGAAGCCAACTAAATCTTGCTGTTAAATTCAACCTGGAAGATTTCGCATTAAATTGCACAAAGAAATTGCTATCTACCGGAGGAAAACTATTTAAGTGTGAAATGTGTGATAAAATTTTTACTCGTAGTGGAAGAATCACAAAGCAAATCCACATTGAAACTGGAAAAAAACGATTTAAGTGTGAAGTATGTGGTGAAAGCTTTGTTCAGAGTGGAAATTTAAAACAGCACTTGCGCATTCATCCTAGAAAAAAGTCATTTAAATGTGAAGTATGTGATAAAAGCTTTTCTACAAATGACCATTTAAGAAGGCACATGAGAATTCATACAGGAGAAAAACCATTTAAGTGTGAAGTTTGTGATAAAAGCTTTTCAGGAAATGAAAGTTTAAAACTGCACATGAGTATTCATACTGGAGAAAAGCCATTTAAGTGTGAAGTATGTGATAAAAGCTTTTCTACAAATGACCATTTAAGAAGGCACATGAGAATTCATACTGGAGAAAAACCATTTAAGTGTGAAGTTTGTGATAAAAACTTTTCAGGAAATGGAAGTTTAAAACAGCACATGAGAATTCATACTGGAGAAAAGCCATTTAAGTGTGAAGTATGTGATAAAAGCTTTTCAGGAAATGAAAGTTTAAAACTGCACATGAGTATTCATACTGGAGAAAAGCCATTTAAGTGTGAAGTATGTGATGAAAGCTTTTCTTGGAGAGAAAGTTTAAAACAGCACATGTTCACTCATACTGGAGAAAAGCCATTTAAGTGTGAAGTTTGTGATAAAAGCTTTTCAGGAAATGGAAGTTTAAAACAGCACATGAGAATTCATACTGGAGAAAAGCCATTTAAGTGTGAAGTATGTGATAAAAGCTTTCCAGAAAATGGAAGTTTAAAACGGCACATGAGGATTCATACTGGAGAAAAGCCATTTAAGTGTGCAGTATGTGATGAAAGCTTTTCTCGGAAAGAAAGTTTAAAATGCCACATGTGCTTTCATGCTGTCAAAAAGTCATTTAAGTGTGAAGTAGTTGATGAAAGCTTTTCTTGGAGAGAAAGTTTAAAACAGCACATGTGAATTCATACTGGGGAAAAGTCATTTAAGTGTCAATTATGTGATGAAAGCTTTTCTCAAAATGGAAGTTTAAAGCAGCACAGCCGTATTCATGCTAGAGAAAAACTGTTTAAATGTGAAGTATGTGATGGAAGCTTTACTTTGGATACAAATTTAAAACAGCACATGCGCATCCATACTGGAGAAAAGCCATTTAAGTGTGAAGTATGTGATAAAAGCTTTTTTCAGAAAGGACATTTAAAACAACACATGATGGTTCCTACTGGAGAAAAACCATTTAAGTGTAAAGTATGTGATGAAAGCTTCGCTTAGAACAGAAGTTTAAAACAGCACATGCACATTCATACTGGAGAAAAGCCATTTAATTGTGAGGTATGTGATAAACGCTTTTCTAATAATGATATTTTAAGACAGCACATGAGAATTCATACTGGAGAAAAACCATTTAAGTGTGAAGTATGTGATAAAAGCTTTTCTAGAAATGGCCTTTTAAGATGGCACATGAGAATTCATACTGGAGAAAAACCATTTACATGTGAAGTATGTGGTGAAAGCTTTTCTCGGAAAGATCATATGAAAATGCACATGTATATCCATACTGTATCAAAGCAATACAAATGTGAAGTATGTAATAAAAAGTTTTCACAGAATGAAACTTTAAAACAGCACATGAGGATTCATGCGGGAGAAGAAAGCATTTTAGTGTGAAGTATGTGTTGAAAGTGTTTTAGCTGTGTTGGGTAGGTGGCAGTTACATTGGGGAATTAGTTGGTAGATCAAACAAACAAATGTATTGATACATATTTCTTTAATGGTTTCTTTCCAATGTACCCATAATTTAAATTCGAAAGCTCTCTATATATATATCACCCTAACAGACTTCACATGATATGTACTGTGATATCATATTTCTATAACTGGCTTGATTGTTTCTGGTACACCTTAATATGTTTTTTACATTCAAATAAACATTTGATATCTATCTCCCATATCAATTGTCCAAAAGTTGATTTTAAAACTGATAAACAATTATAACATATCTGATAAGACTTACAATAACTTTCAAGCTCTCTCTCAAAATAAAAATCTTAAATAAATGTGCTTTATAGGGAAGGGTTGGCAAGGATTATCAGAGTTGATTTATCAAATATATATTTCTTTTAAGTCTATATAAAAGTTACACTTGCTAATTAGATAGAATTAATTTACTATCTTGTATCTAATATCATTAGCATTTTCAAAATAATAAACTAATTATAAGTCCAGTAAATAATCATTTAATTAATTTGTATCAAAACAAATGCATATCCATCTGAATAAATAGACCATAGAGGTCTAAATAATTAAATGTGATAAAGGCTTTTCTAATAATAAAAATTTAAGACAGCACATGAGTATTCATACTGGAGAAAAACCATTTAAGTGTGAAGTATGTGATAAAAGCTTTTCTATAAATGACATTTTAAGACGGCACATGAGAATTCATACTGGAGAAAAACCATTTACATGTGAAGTATGTGGTGAAAGCTTTTCTCGGAAAGATCATATGAAAAAGCACATGCATATCCATACTGTATCAAAGCAATACAAATGTGAAGTATGTAATAAAAGGTTTTCACAGAATGGAACTTTAAAACAGCACATGAGGATTCATACGGGAGAAGAAAACATTTTAGTGTGAAGTATGTGTTGAAAGTGTTATAGCTGTGTTGGGTAGGTGGCATCTACATTGGGGAATTAGCTGGTAGATCAAACAAACAAATGTATTGATACATATTTCTTTAATAGTTTCTTTCCAATGTACCCATAATTTAAATTATATATATATATATATATATATATATATATATATATATATATATATATATATATATATATATATATATATATATATATATATATATATACTGTGATATCATATTTCTATAACTGGCTTGATTGTTTCTGGTACACCTTAATATGTTTTTACATTCAAATAAACATTTGATATCTATCTCACATATCAATTGTCCAAAAGTTGATTTTGAAACAGATAAACAATTATAACATATCTGATAAGACTCACAATAACTTTCAACCGTTCTCTCAAAATAAAAATCTTAAATGTGCTTTATAGGAAAGGGTTGGCAAGGATTATCAGAGTTGATTTATCAAATATTTCTTTTAAGTGTATATAAAATTTACTCTTGCTAATTAGATAGAAT